TTGGGGCAAAAATTTGTCAGGGATGGTACTTGGTCCTGCTGTGAAGGCAGCAGGCTGGACTCAAGGTCCCTTCCAGCTCTAGGAGATAAGCAATCTCCATTATTAATTAGGTGCAGGGGAGGGGAAAGCACCAGGACATCTCTGGTGCTCCCCCCCCTGCCTGAGGAGCAGCTGCTGCCATGTTGGGGTGATCTGGATGGCTCCATGGTGCAGGGGGAGTGGCCTGTGCTGTCACCAGTGGGAAAGAGGGGGTGCGGGGAGGTGGCTTGTGCTATCTCTAACAGGCTGAGGAACCATCTGAGAGCCGGTTTCCTTTCCAAGATCTGGACTATGCCTTGAAACCATTGGCAACTCCTGGTGCTAGATTCTGCTTTGCTTCTGAGCATCTCATAGCTGTTGGTGGTGGCCTCGGCTGGATGTGGCCATGAAAGATGTGCCAAATGATCAGTATAATGGGGACGACGTTCCCTGAAGGTCTGAGCACACTTGACCACACAGGAGCAATTCAAGTGCCACCCAGCTGATTAACAGAGGCCAGATCCTCCCACAGCCGGCAGTGTGTGTTTCTACTAGTGGTGCACATCTGCACATGCCTCAGTGCACAGAACAAAATGTATTCCACAGCTATGGAAAAATGTAGAGGCTACATTGACTGGGGAGAGGGGTTACTGCAGTGGGTAATGCTATAATTGCTTGTGCAGGGAGCCAGTGGATTGCAGTGCCCGGGGAGCTTCGTGGCTATGAAGAAGCCCACAGGCGATATGGCCAGTTGCCTTGGAAATCGCTGTTTGAACCAACCATCAAGCTCCTTACAAGTGGAATCAGAATTCCGAAAGTGCTGGACAAATTTCTCAATTACCCCATACTACTGCCTCTTTTGAAAAAGTCATCCTTGGGGTAAGTCTATTTCACACGGCAGCAGGTGGTGGCAGTGGGCAGGGGACGGGACACAGGGCTGCCCCATGGCTCTGCTGGCAAGTGGCAACATTTTTGCCATTGAAGGAAAAAAATCAATTGTGGGAGGTTGGGGAAAAAGCACAGAAACATCTCCCCTTTGTCAGCCTTTCTTGAGCGGCTCCGCACCCAGGAGGTTTACGCCCACACGTTGAGAAGACGGTGGCAACGGATGAGCAGAAACCTGCAGTCTTACTCGCGGGAAGGTTCCCATTTGGGATTACTTGAGTCAAGGCTGCAGCTTCTGGCCCGAAGTGAGCAATCTTTGTGTGGGACGTGATAGGGAGACATGCTTGCCCAGGAAGAGGCACTATAGGACAGTGGTCTCCAACCTTTCGTGGCTGCTGGGCACCCAGGGCGATGGCCACTCATGTGCCGGGCGTCCGGGGGGGCCGCTCACATGCCACGCTTCCGGGGGTGGAGCCACGCATGCACCACGTGCCTGGGGCAGGGGCCGCCCACATGCCCTACCCCTGCTGCTGGCACCGCGCATGTGCCGCGCTCCGGGGGCGGGACCAGCCCAGATGTTTCAGCGGGCACATATAAATGCCCCAGCACCACACTGGGGATCACTACTATAGAAGGACAGGCCTTCCCTGGTGGCAGCTCTGGAAAACAGGAACAAACTGTGAACAAGCTTTGGCTGGCAAACGGGAGAGTCTGTCAGGGGAGAGAAATAACCACGTGCATGCTATGAACCTGAACTCATTGGAATTCTCTTTTAACAGGAAGCTATTCTTTAAGAATGGTACGCTTGTAAAAGAGGATGAGATCTTCCTTTGGCCAGCCCTGTTGAAAACACTGAAGGCTGTAGCAGAGAAGGGAGCCCAAGAATTTTATGAGGGCGAGATAGCACAGAACTTGTTGATGGACATAAAGAAGGAAAGTAGGTAACAGTTATTCTTCATAGATGAAATTTCTGGAAGATGGTTGAAAGACCATGCTCAAAGAGACATGATTAGAGGCTCACTTTTGAACTGGGAGGGCATATCTAAGTATTACTATTCAGTATTTTCATTAATTGCTTGGATAATGGAGTTTGCTTATATATTTTGGAGATGGCATCAAATTAAAGGGTGGTCATGTTCCCTAGATACCAATGCTGCCCAGCTGATCAGCAGAACACCCACCACTAGGTTTGTGTTTCTCCTGGTGGTGCACATTTGCACATGCCTTGTGCACATAACAAAATTATTTATTACTATTCAGTATTTTCATTAATTGCTTGGATAATGGAGTTTGCTTATATATTTTGGAGATGGCATCAAATTAAAGGGTGGTCATGTTCCCTAGATACCAATGCTGCCCAGCTGATCAGCAGAACACCCACCACTAGGTTTGTGTTTCTCCTGGTGGTGCACATTTGCACATGCCTTGTGCACATAACAAAATTATTCTGCACATGGATGGAAAAGATTAGAGGGAACATTGCTTGCAAGTACTTTGGAGGACAGAATTAGAATTCAAAAGGACATCGTGAAGTTGGAAAATTATTCTGAAATCAACTGGCCAAAATTCAATACAGAGAAGTGCAAAGAACTTCATTTACAAATATATATATATAATAAAAAATCAGGCACACCCCTTCAAAATTGGGAGTGTCACTGTTACGTGGCAGTACTCAGAAAAGTATCTGGCATTATAGTGGATCACAAGTTGGATATGAGTTAACAGTGTGATGCAGTTACAAAAAGGGCTAATGTAATTTTACAGTGTATTCACAGGCATGTTGTCTGTAACATGCTCAAGGTAATTCTCTAGCTCCACTTGGCCAGGGGGAGGGGTCTCAGTTGGAATATCATGTCCAAATCCAGGTGCTCCACTTTGGGAAAGAGATAGACAAATTGGAGAAGGCCCGTTATTGATAAAAGGTTTAGAAAACCTGACCTGTGAGGAAAGACTTTAAAAAAAGCTGGGGATGTTTAGTCTTGAAAAAAAGAAGACTGGGGCTACGCTGCCGTTTTTTTGTTTTTTGTTTTTTGCAGAAGAGGATATGCAAATCGTGCTCTCATCTGCTTATCTTCTTCCGATTCTTTTTGTGGAAGAGGTTTTGCTGATAAAAAGCCCCGTGTAAACAGGGTCATTTGTCAGAAAAACCCTCTTTTGCACACGGTCCCGTATTCCTCAAAAATCAAGCGCGATTTGCATATCCTCTTTCGCAAAAAACACGGCAGTGTAGCCATAGCCTGAGTGAGAGCTGGTACATCTTACAGTGAGTTATGGGTTGTTATAAAAAGCACTGGGCTCTTTGTTCTTCATCGCCACTGAAGATAGGACAAGAAGTAATGGGCTTAATCTGGAGCAAGGGACACATTAGGAACAACTTTCGGACTAGAAGGGGCAGTTAAACTCTGGAATAAGCTTCCAAGGGAATCCACATCACTTGGGCCTTTTCAGAGCAGATTGAACAAAACACATCTCAGGGCTGGTCTAGGTTTACTTGGTCCTGCCTCAGTACGGGAGGGAGAGCTTGATGACTTCTCTAGGTCCCTTCCAGTGCAACATTTCTATGTTTCTATAACATTAATATTAAGAAGTAATAAGAAATGTTATATACACCCCAAGATCTTAAAGTGCTTTACAAAAGCGGGTCTGTATATATCTCCATTTAATAGACAGGGAAACTCAGGCTACATCTAGACTACAATGAGCTATCGGAAAAAAGGTGCGCAAAATGCACTCCGCAATTTGTGCACCTTTTTCCGATAGTTTTGTTGAAAGAGGCTTTTCCGAAATTTGGCCCGTTTACATGGGGCCAAATTTCAGAAAAGCTTCCTCTTTTGGAAGAGCCCTTCTTCTTCATGGGATGAGGAAAACAGGGCTTCCGAAAAAGCACGTCTGCTCTTCCGCAAAAAAAAGCGGAAGAGCAGACATGTTCCCAGGATGCAGCAGTTTTTCCGGGATCCCTCTGGAATCCCAGAAAAACCATGTAGTCTAGACATAGTCTCAGGCAGGGAGATGGTTGAGTGTTTTGGTATTTTGTTGTTGATTTGTGTGGGTGGAGGGTTTTTTGGGGTGTCTTATCTGAGGGCATAGTGGCAGAGCTGGGTTGAGTGGTATTGGTTAAGATTTTCTAATATGACTGATGATTTGGGGCCCTTTGGTTTTTTGGGTGCCCAAAGGCGACACTTTTGAAGGGTCCTGATTTTCATGAGGAGGGTGCTGAGTTCTTGCTCAGGCGCTTTCAGGGGCATCTCAGTTGGAGTCCCCAATAACTGAGGCTCTCAATGGCACTAGTCTTCTTTTTAAAAAATTGACATTAGAGGAGGGATTGGTGGAAACGCCAGGCCTGTAAGTTCCTGGTGCAACTTGGATGTCTCCGTGTAATCCTCGGCATGGGGGTCAAACTCGGGCCTGGTGACATTCCACAGACTAGCTAAGAAAACAGGTCAGTAGTCATGAAAGCTGCTGTCTTGACTGCAATGCAGCTGAGGGTATCATCGTGGCGCTCAGCTGACTTCTGCGCCATTCAGCCGGGCCACCACAGGGAAGCCAGCGGCCCAAGTGGCCGTTTGGGACCAGCGCTCCCCATGCAGCACCCCTATGCTGCATGGGGACTGTGACGCCCAAACAGCTGCTTGCTCCCCTGCGGTGGCCCGGCTGAGCAGCGCAGAAGTCAGCTGAGTGCCACGGTGGGAGGGGAACGGAGTGACTCAGGCAACAGCACCGCCCAGAGAGAACAGCCAGGGAGGCAACTGCGCTGCCCAGAGGGAACAGCCAACATTTCAGCATTACAGTCACATACTATTATATACATGATTTCAGTGTCTGATGTCTTTGACTTTTTAATTTTTCATTGGAAAACCACTCCCCAAAAATACTTTAATTTTGTGGATGTTTATAGCTTTCAACCTGCTCTTTCCTCCCCCCAGAAAACCAGGTTTTTAATTTATTTGCTCCACTCCTGTTTTTTAGATTTTCAGTTTGTCAGTGAAAAGGCAGAGAAAGCGGCAGGAGGGGGAGGAGAGCTGAGAGAGAGAGGGGGGCAGGCAGTAGGAAGAGGAGGAGAGAGAGAGAGAGACCGGAAGCTCAAGAGAGAAGACTGATGTGGAGGAGAGACCTGAAAATCCTGTCTTATGACGGGCTAATTGGCTAATTTTATCAGAAGAAGGAAGGAGGAGAACTTGCAGCAATTTTATCTCATGAGGAAGCTGACTCTGCCCAGCGGGTCCTGATATGAGATAGGAAGGGGGAAGCCAAGTCCCCTGTTTGACTTGATGTTCATTTCCCCCTTTGATATTTTCTCCCAACCGGCTGCTGCACTTTATTCATGTCTTGTTGACTCCCGGGCTGTGTCTACACTGGCCACTTATTCCGGAAAATCAGCCGCTTTTCCAGAATAACTTGCCAGCTGTCTACACTGGCCGCTTGAATTTCCGGAAAAGCACTGACGATCTCATGTAAAATTGTCATTGTTTTTCTGGAAAAACTATGCTGCTCCCCATTCGGGCAAAATTCCTTTTCCGGAAAATGTTCCGGAAAAGGGCCAGTGTAGACAGCTCAGATTTGTTTTCCACAAAAAAGCCCCGATCTCGAAAATAACGATTGGGACTTTTTGCAGAAAAGCGCGTCTACATTGGCACAGACGCTTTTCTGGAAAAAGTGCTTTTCTGGAAAAGCATCCTGCCAATGTAGACGCGCTTTTTCCAGAAATACTTATAACGGAAAACGGTTCCGTTTTAAGCATTTCCGGAAAAGGGTGCCAGTGTAGACGTAGCCCTGGAGTGCAGAATACACTGGAATTTTTTCCTTTTCATCCCTAGTGGGAGAGCTCCCCTCCTGCTCTTCAGTGTGGGCTCACCTGGTCCTTCGTTAGGGGAAGGGTAGCAGTGTTGTCCCGTGGGGGGCGCCAGCAGGCGGCGTTCCAAGAGCAGGCAAAAGGAGCTATTTCCCTTTCCCGCTGAGGGCAGACAGGAACCAGGGACAGGGCCACTGTTCAATTGTTTCGCCAGCTGTTTTTGTTTCTTACTGTCCCAGAGTTTGACACACATAAGAGGAAAGGCAAAAGATAAGGGTGGTGAGGGGAGGATGCAGTATTCATCAGGCTGGCAGGGGATCTGGCTCTCTGCCTAAGGCAGGAACAGAGTAAGTGAACACGCCAAAGCCACACACTTCTCTTGTCTTTTCTTGAAGATGGCAGCCTGACGCTAAAAGACCTCAAGGACTTCCAAGCAGAAGTGTCAACACCTTTGAATATTTCTCTGGGGAGTTACACAATATATTCCCCTCCGCTGCCTTCTGGGGGAGCTATTCTCCTCTTCATCCTCAACATCCTCAAAGGTAATCTTTGGAAGGAAAGGTAGATTTCAGCCTGGTGCGTGGAAGGGCAGCATGGGCTCAGGAGCAGCAAAGTAATAATACTCCTCGGCCCTTATCTTCAAAGCATGTGACTGCTCTAGCTCAGCTAATCCTCGAAACAGCCCCACCTGACAGCTGGGAGGACAGTGGCAGAGACGATTATTGACTTCCCCAAGGTCACAAAGATTTCAGAGTCGGAATAAGAATTCTGTTGTTCCCGGCTCCCAGCCTGTGGGGGCATAACCTGTTGGGCGGGAGGAAATGGATTAAGAATACAGATGGGACAGAATGAGTGGATGGGGTTAGTGCTCATCATGGACAGCTGCTGGCTGTCTTCCCTCCTCCATTAATCCTTTTGGTTTATCCTGCCCCAAAGAGTTTAAATTCACGCCAGAGTCCATGAAGTCCCCCGAAGGGAAGATCGAGACCTACCACCGTATAGCAGAGGCCCTGAAGTTTGGCAATGGGCAAAAGTCAAAACTGGACACTGAGCAGGTGAGCTGGTGCAGTACCATGGGACAGCTAGAACTCAGACTCAGGGGGGGGGGGGGGAGGAAAAGGAAATCAATTTGCAGTAAATTGTCCGTGTGTTTTAAAGTCTGGCCAATATTTCCTTGCTGATAAGATTCAAGTACCCAAAACACCAAACAGTTTCACAGCTCACCAACCCAGAGCACCTCCACCTCTTGTAAGATGAACGTGTGCCCACTTGGACATCTTGTCCTGAATGTCCATTGAATAGTTGGTAGGTAACACTGTAATGGAAAAAGCTCTTTGCCTGGAGGCCCTTTTTCCGTTCTATCGCTTTGATGCAGGATTGCTATTTCTGTTGCGAAACCTCCTTGTCATAATAAACTCACTGCACTCTCCAGGGTAAACCTTCCAAACTACCTCATTACATTCATTAGAGCACTACCCCACAGAGTTCAATGTTACTTCTGCCTTGCTCACTCATACTCAGTAGGAATTTACTCTGCGTAGTCCTGTTGCAACTGGGGAAGAAGTACAGGTTGAACCTCTGCAGTCCAGCACTCTTTGGTCCAGCAACATCTGTAGTCCAGCATGATTTGAATGAGCCAGATGTCCACTTTTCATGGGTGTGGCCAAGTTTCCCGTAGTCCCCTAAAGTTTGTTTACAGCAGGGGTCTCCAACCTTTTGAAGCACGAGATCAGTTTTTGAATGTAAGTTCAATCCAGGATCCACCTCCAACCCAAACACCCTTGCCCCACTTCCTCTGTGCCCCTTCTCCGAGGTCCTGCCCCTGCTCACTCCATCCTCCCTCACTTTCACCAGGCTGGGGCAGCAGGTTGGGGTGCAGGATCTGGTCTTAGATTAAGGGATTTGTAGTTGAGAGGGGCTCTGAGCTGAGCGTGGGGCAGGCCGTTGGGAGCGCTGGAGGGGGTTCTAGGTGCAGGCTCTGGAAGCGTGTTTGGATGCAGGGGGTGCTTGGGGCTAGTGCAGGGGTTTGTGGTGCAGAAGGGGGCTCATGACAGGGGTAGGGTTTCAGGATGTGGGCTCCAACTGGACCCTGTTTACTTCAGGTGGCTCCTGGGTGGTGCAGTGGGGCTAAGGCACCACTCCCCAAAGCAGCCAGCAAACTCCATCCCAAGTCCCCCCACTCTGTTCTGTAGAGATAGGATACAGAGTGGGAGGGGGCACCTTGACATCAGCCCGCTCCTCTCCCTCGCCTGCCCTGCACAGAAAGCAGGAGGCTCCCCAGGGTTAAGGGCAGCTCTAAGGCAAAGGGCAGGAGGTGCGCAGCAGTGGGGGGGAAGGGCAGCTGAAGTGCCCACACTTGACAGCCTCCTGGCCAGGCTGGACAGTCAGAAGCTCCAAGATCTACTGGTGGATCCCGCTGGACTGGCTGGGGACCACTGGGTTACAGCCCCCAGTCCTGGATCCCAGCGTTCCCAGCTGCTGTTTAGCTCTGATTTGCCCCTCAGTGTCTTTTAAGAGCCCAGCGAGCCGTGGAAGTGTTGGTCATGCTGCTAGACAGGACTCCTCAGCTTGCAGCTGCATCTCCCCACCCCCCGTTCTGGCCAAGGCTCCGCCCCTTTCTGGCCAAGGCTCCGCCCCTTTCTGGCCAAGGCTCCGCCCCTTTCTGGCCAAGGCTCCGCCCCTTTCTGGCCAAGGCTCCGCCCCTTTCTGGCCAAGGCTCCGCCCCTTTCTGGCCAAGGCTCCGCCCCTTTCTGGCCAAGGCTCCGCCCCTTTCTGGCCAAGGCTCCGCCCCTTTCTGGCCAAGGCTCCGCCCCTTTCTGGCCAAGGCTCCGCCCCTTTCTGGCCAAGGCTCCGCCCCTTTCTGGCCAAGGCTCCGCCCCTTTCTGGCCAAGGCTCCGCCCCTTTCTGGCCAAGGCTCCGCCCCTTTCTGGCCAAGGCTCCGCCCCTTTCTGGCCAAGGCTCCGCCCCTTTCTGGCCAAGGCTCCGCCCCTTTCTGGCCAAGGCTCCGCCCCTTTCTGGCCAAGGCTCCGCCCCTTTCTGGCCAAGGCTCCGCCCCTTTCTGGCCAAGGCTCCGCCCCTTTCTGGCCAAGGCTCCGCCCCTTTCTGGCCAAGGCTCCGCCCCTTTCTGGCCAAGGCTCCGCCCCTTTCTGGCCAAGGCTCCGCCCCTTTCTGGCCAAGGCTCCGCCCCTTTCTGGCCAAGGCTCCGCCCCTTTCTGGCCAAGGCTCCGCCCCTTTCTGGCCAAGGCTCCGCCCCTTTCTGGCCAAGGCTCCGCCCCTTTCTGGCCAAGGCTCCGCCCCTTTCTGGCCAAGGCTCCGCCCCTTCTGGGATTGTGCGGCTGCCCCCTCACACACACGCGCCTTGCCCTGGGGCCCACACAGGCTGTCAGCTCCCCCCCCAGCTGGCCAATGCCATGCCCCGGTGTTTCCATTTCCCAGAGACAGGCAAGGCCGGGGCAGGGATATGCAGCTACCCACAGGACAGTCTTACGCGGAGGTTTCCTTCGCAGCCTGGCCGCTGAGTTTGGTAGTTCCCAGCTGGAACAGTGAGCCAGCCTCCGGCTATCAAGAGAAGTCCCCCTTACAGCCTCGCTGCCCTGCCCACTCAGCAGTCATGCCCCGGTGTTTCCATTTCCCAGAGACAGGCAAGGCCGGGGCAGGGATATGCAGCTACCCACAGGACAGTCTTACGCGGAGGTTTCCTTCGCAGCCTGGCCGCTGAGTTTGGTAGTTCCCAGCTGGAACAGTGAGCCAGCCTCCGGCTATCAAGAGAAGTCCCCCTTACAGCCTCGCTGCCCTGCCCACTCAGCAGTCAAGTGGGCACATCAGGCTGGCTGAGCGGTTTTTGCCACCCCGTGGAGCCCTAAGAAGCGGCTGCTGGCAACTCTTTTACAAGGGCCTGGGCGCAGCTGGCTTAGGAAACAGAAGTGTCTCAGTAATGCCGCTGGCCCAGGACAAGCCTACAAACTGGGGCCTCAAACTCATGGCCCATCTGCAATCTAAGCATTTTGGCAGTCTGGCCTGAAGTCCCCGGGGTGGAGGGGGGTGCATGTATCCCCAGCCCTCAAGCCCTGCACCTTCCCCCAAGCTCCCTCCCCTGAAACCGTGTATTTCGGGGGACAGGGGTTAAAGGAAAAGGTGCAAGGGGGTGTGTGGAGGTGGGAATGGGCCAGGCTTGGGGGACAGATATGGACACACACACCTTGGACCTCAGGGGCTCTTGGCCTCGATTGCGAAATGCTTGGGTCCTGCATAGCCCTCTCAGGAATATTGGTAATAACAAGTATCAGCTTGTAATGGGGCTAGGCCGTAAAGCCAAAAGGGCCATAGGGAAGTCCTCCTGGAGGCTAGAGTGGTGTGGAAGAATGCGTTTGAGACTCCCATTGACACTGATTTCAAAACTTAGCCCTACAAAAGGTGAAACTCTCTTGTCTCTCCTTACAGCTAGTGAACTCTGCAACCCACACGGCCAAACAGCAGTAAATATAAAGGTATCCCAGCACTGGCACCGTTGTATAATCGCCCCCGCGCTGAATATGGGCTTAGCAGAGTTGTCTGTTGGCTTCTGTATCTGGCAGCACTAGGTCGGCATGGTGCAGCATGGCCAGTGGTAATTCCCACCGTGTTCGCTGCTGTTCTGCCTGTGACATCTGGCGTAACAGTTCCTGACTGTGGCATCTCACACGTACTTTTTCTCCACTCAGGTTTGGCTCCATGGTATATTCTCCAGCCACTGGGATCATTTTGAATAACGAGCTCCATGACTTTTGCAAGAAGAAGCCAAGTAGCGAGATCATGCGTGGTGAGAGCCATCAACCCTGAGCTAAACAATAGGCCAGAACATACCAAGGGCACTCACAGCCCTCTGGATATGCTCTCAGGTCTGGAGCAACCCGTCCGTGCCCCTGCGCCGGACGAGCACCCTTTCTGACCAGCACTAGACATGAGTTTGTTCTGGACTGGTGCAGGGTAAAACCCCAGTGGGGAGCATCTGGGTGTGTAAAATGCTTTTTGTTCATTCAATGGCCAGGGCATTCCAAACACAGGCAAACTGTTGAGAAGAGGAGCTCAGGAAAATAGCTGGTAGTCATATGGGGATAAATGCTGCCATCCTTATTCTTGGGTTCTCATGACTTCACAATTCTCACGTTGTGGAGAAAAAAATAATCCCCCCAAGACATGTATCCACCAAGAATTTACATGGTTTTATAATAGTGCTAATGGTGTATTAATAGCTGTACAACTTTTTAGCGCTGTATAAAGTGTTTGAGTCTGGGGCTATTCGCGCATTGTTTTCGATAAATGTCACCCTGTGGAACGTTTTCATGTGCCAAAGGCTGACAGACCAGTGACTGTATCCTGACCATGTCTATTGAGGAGCCTTGCTTGTGCCTATCAGTGGTGTCTAGTTCCACTGGGTCCCAAAAGACTTTGAAGCCGCAGTACTTTAGAAAACTGAGCAGGGTGGCAAGACCCTTTTTGTAGTTCCAAGCCTCTTCTAGTGCAGGATGGGCTTCCTCTGGCCAAGGGAGAAAAAAACAACACCCCCCCTCCACAAAAAAATCCTTTCATTTCTGGAAGAACTGATGGAAAGTTGAATTGCTGAGGAAACTGGGGAGGGTTTGTGTGGGACAGGGCGGAGACAGATTCACAGTGAACAAAAGATTTTTCCCTGCTTTGGCTAGGTGGGCCACTGACATGTTCTCCCTCTTCTCTAGGAGAAAGACCCCCCTCTGCCATGGCTCCTTCCATTCTCATCTCCAAAGACAAGAACGCTAAGCTGGTGATTGGAGGCTCCGGAGGGGACTTGATTATCAGCGCCACAGCCTTGGTGAGCAAGTGGCCGCATAGCCCGTCTCCCGGGCATCGGAAGGAGCACTGACGTTACTGCACTCCATTGCAGAACCTTCATAAACCGGCCAGCAGGGCTGAGGGGGTGGCAGCGCACCTCGGAGCTGTCAGTACCATCTTCCGGTGCAGCTGGCTCACCCGCCTTTGTGCCTAGGCTGGACACCGG